AACTCCGGAATGACCGAGTCGGTGTCAGTTTCCAGAACTCTGGCCTTCCGTCTTTCGACGTCTGCGGTCATGACAACAAACCATGCTCTCCTGCTGCTGACACATGCATAGCGACACATGGATGCATGGCGCACAAACACAACCAATGACAGATACCCTATAGACCGCAGTTGATTTTTTCTTTTTTTTTGGATGGATGTCGTGTGACCCCGCTTGCATGTTTAATCACATTATGTAAATATCGTGTTTGTCGTGCCATTGTGAACATGTTCACTGGTATTAGGTTATTTTTATGCTCCATCTGTCCTCTAGAGTCATTGTATCATCACAGCTGGACTTAAAGCCAGACTTTCAGGGGAAAAAAAACTGAATTTTTTTTGCTTCTAAACGTAAGCCTGCCTGTCATCATTAAAAAAAAATACAGGTTTTGATGCTGCTACATCCTAGGGGTTCTTCAAAACTCCTAAGCCAAATATTAAACTTTAGCATATAAATAGTCTCTCATGTTTGTGAATAGAAAATCAAATTATGTGGCTTGTATAGAGAACAGGTGTGCTATTATTTAGGCTTATGATATTTGCCTAGAGAAAAAATAGCATTTATTGGAATCTATGTATAACTATGCACACATAGATAATGCATACATACATGTTTAAATTTAAATTTTTATTAAAAAAGTTTAATTACATTTTTAATTATTAATTTTTTTTTGCAATGGTTTACATTTTCTTAAATTTTCTTAATTATTTCATTATATATATATATATATATATATATAAATACATAATTAAAATGTTATACATATATATTTTTTATTATATAATTATACATTTTACGCAATGATATAAAAATTTATTATTTAATTATTTACTCTTCATTACTTATTATACAATAAAATAGCATATTAGAATGATTTCTGAAGGATCAGGTGACACTGAAGACTGGAGTAATGATGCTGAAAATTCAGCTTTGCATCACAGGAATAAATCGCACTTTAAAATACATTACAATAGAAAACGGTTATTTTAAAATTGTAACAATATCTCACAATATTACTTACTGTATTATTTACAAATTTTAGGATCTTACAGACCCAGTATATATAATTATAATAAATTATACAATAAATTATAATAATCTATATAATAAATTGTAATAATTATTATTAATTACAATAAATGATTACTTAGAAAATTCTAAATATCATATAATATTTTTTTATTATTATTAAAACTATCATTTAACATTTAACCATGTTCTCTGAACTGTACACAAATGGATTGGAGGTTAGTTATGTGATTTATGTTCAATAATTTGGACATAAAGCAAACAACAACATATATTCTTACTCTAGACACTGTTTGTTTTGTGTACAGCTCCAGTAGGAATCTAGTTTTTCTAGTTCTTAGATACCTCTAAGTAAATGTAGTGTAAATGGAGATGACAAGAGATTTACTGAGGAGAAAAGAAGGAGAGGGAAAAGAAGAATAGAATGGATGGCGAGAGAGGGAGAAATGGGTTGCCAGGAGAAATGGTCAAATGCTTAACCCACAAATGTGAAGCCTGAATCTGTTCAGAGCGTTTTTGGCTGGTCTGTGAAGAAAGCAGAAGAAAGGTTTTGAAGCAGGCAGCCAAAGAGGAGCTTTCTGAATGGAGGGAGCAGATGCAGTTACAGCATTAGAAGTGATATTGAGAGGGAACGTTATATGGGACAGACAGCAGTACCCAGTGCTGGAACAGAGGAACCACAAAAGTCTTCGATCTCTCGCAATGCAAGAGAGCAAGAGAGACTACAAACACAACCAGCAAAAAGAGAATGAGAGATGGACAGAGAAAGAGAAAGAGGCACAGATGGTTGCTGAAATGTGCGAGTGCTCTAGTTTAGGATGTCATCATTATTACGTGTCAACGATAAATGCCAGAATTGAAATTATGGCACCTGCTCATTTCTCCAACACAACTGCCCAGCAAGCATAACACATTTCAACAGCTTCGCATTTTGGTTGCAGTCATCATAGTACAGTAACGCTGCAGAACATTTGAAAAACATTATATTTTTAAACTCTTCTAAACATATGGCTAAATTTAAACATAACTAGAATAAAACAATTGAAGAAACATTTTGAAAATAGCTACCTGGTGAGATTTCTTTAAGTGCTTATAAAATGTTAGTGTAACACATTCTTAAAAACTGACTAAACGGCAATGTTTGTGAGATGTTATATTTACAGTAGGTTGTAGTCTGTATGTTTCACTGTTACGAAGTGAAAATAACATGATACAACCAGGTCACATTAGAACATTATTTGTCTCTGTCAGTGTTGTTGTTGCTGTTAACTAAAAATAAAACTGAAATTAAAAACTACTATCGCTTTCGTTAATTGAAATAGCTGAAATAAAACAAAATATAAATATTAAAACAAAATATAAATAACTAAAAAACATTTAACTGAAGTAAAATTTTAAGTATATTAAAATTACCAAAGCTAAAACTGAAATAGAAATAAATTAACGCTATTTTTAATAGAATGCTTTAAATTGAAATATTAAAAAAAAAATAAAAAATGATAAAAGCATAAGTATATTATAAATAATACTAGCACAACACAGAGTCCTTGAAATAATAAACAAAAACGTTAAGTTGTACGTAATAATAAAATATATTTATTATTAAAAAAAAAACTTAAAGCACATGTAATGTAACTGAAATGAAACAAGTTAAAGTTGAGGTACTAAAATTAAATTAAAGTAAACATAAATTAAAACTTAACCATTTAAAAAAATACTTTTTTCTTATATTTATTTTTAAAAATTATTTATTTGTATTCTTATTAAGTACATAAGAATAACACATAAGGCCTAAAATGTACATAAGACATAATTAATAAATGCTATAGTAGTGTAATACTAAAATTACAGTCTTAAAATTACATACTAAAAAAAAGTGTCAAAATAAAAAATTAAAAAATATTAAACTATACCTAATAATAAAATATGTTTATGTAAAAAATATCAAGGATGCAGAATAATATAATCATTATTACAGTAACAATACATTTACATATAACATCATGACAGCCATTTAACAACTTAAAATAAATGTTTATAAAACGTTGTGCTTGCTGCTTCTCAGTTTACCTCAAAGGACCTTTTGCAGGACCACTTTGATGAGCACGCCATGTTCATCTTCACTGGCTGATCTCCATTCATGTGGCTGAAATATGACAGATAGATCCAACTGGCAGAGTTTGCGGATTTGAAAACAGAGCAATCATCAACTACAAATCAAAAGCAGCACAAAAACACAATGCTGACCACTTTTAACCCAAATACATGCTGTTTTTGTATAGGCTACTTCTGCTGTTCAGATGTTAAATACTAAGGTGTTCTGAGTGTTTATATATATATATATATATATATATCACACCTTTCTCAATAAGCTGCATGATTTGAGGTGAGTATGTTTTGAAGGAAAGCTGTTATTGGTCAGTGGAAACCCTCCATCTTTGCTGCGGTCAGTGACGTGTGAGATCAACGGTTGTAGCTTCACAGATGTTAGTGGAGCGTTCCCATGTCGTCTGTCTGTTTAGAGAGAAGAGCAGATTCCCTGTGGCCCCGTGCAAATTGAAACCTCATCAGATGGCAGTGGCCGTATCCTGCTGCTCTGCTTTATTTCCATCGCATTTGCCTCAAAGTAGAAAATCATTGATCTGCGACGTTTAATCTGATTTTCTTTTCTTTTCCGGCTTTGATGTGCGTTCACACTGAGATGGAGATGGGCTTGTTCTGCACTCGTATTTTTGAAATGTTCCTTGTGTGAGAGGAACACACACTTTGCACTTTTGTAAGAGTGTTAATAAATTGTGCCAAGCAAATGATAAATGTAACACATAAGCAAAAGTCTGAGCTGTTCATGTTCTGGATGATTCAGTCAGAGAAGGCTGACTGTTGGAACTGGAAACGGTAAAAAACAAACAAACAGCTGGGAAGACTTTTATGTATATAAAAAGTGAGAAAATGGTAATGTCCCATCTTTTTATACAGTAAGAGAACATGAGAGACGCCCTCTAGTGGACATGAACGGTGCACTGCATGTGTATTATTATTTTTTTTATTATTTAAATGAATATAAATGTATTAATTTTATTATTTACTAAATATTACTACGCTATATTACTAAATATGCTATTAAAATTAACATTAATACCAAAGTACAAAAATGAAATCAAAATATGTTTTATTAATTTGTCATACATTACACACACACACACATATATATATATACACACACATGTACACACAATATATATATATATAATTTAATTAATATTAATATAATATTAATATAATTTGTATGACTTAAATGAATTTAGATATATAAATTTTATTTGACTAAATATTATTAAACTATTTTACTAAATATATTATATTAAAATTAACCTTAACACAAAAGAACAAAGACTAGATCAAAATTGTATGTATTAATGTGTTATAAATGCACATATATGTGTGTTATATATATTACAGTTTATTATATATAGTAAATAAAGTTATATATAGGCTACACACACACATATTATATATTATTATATTAAGCATATTGATTCATTCATTTGATATTAATATCAATTCATTCATATTAATTGTGTGTGTTTGATTAAAAGAACAAACAAATCTTAACAGTATGTATTCATTTGTTATTAATTTGTAAACGTGTGTGTATGTTATATATACCGAAACATACTGAAACATTTAGTAGCCTACATATGTTGGTAGATTTTGAAATGTAGTAATATAAATAGGTTAGCCTATATACAATTTAATAAAGGCAATACAATGTACATGTATTGTTTTAGTTATTATTATTATTATAGTACAGTATCTGTTTATTTACTCCAGTTTGGTGTTGGGTTTCTGATCTAGGATTCCGTGACGTTGCTCTCCGTGGGTTCTCCGCTGAGGTGGGATTCAGCGCGCATGCGCAGAGGGGAGAGGTATGGTTGAAAACTCGCAGTCCATCGCGCTCAGCAGAAGAGGAGCAGCACAACTAAATGTGACTTATCTGAGCATCATCATCATCATCACATCTGCGCCTCCGGGAGACAAAGAAGAGACGAACTCTGAAAGCGCAAACAACGCGACCAGAGCCCCCCGGAGTGATATGATATCTTCATTATTATTATATCTCTCGACGTGACGACTGTTTGTCTGCCTCTAATGTTTCCAACCCACTGAGACCAGGGGGATTTATTCCTTCTTTTGTTCTTTGCTTTTTTATTGACTATTAATAAAAGCAGCCAAAACGAATAAATACGGGTCATTATGGTTTTGTTAACACTGCATAATAGAAGAGGGTTGAATTGCTTGTGCGCGCAGTTCTTGCTGTGGATTTTATGTGCTGTGGACGGTGAGGAGCAGCAATTCAGTGTGGAGGTAAGAGATCCACAGAAGAGATGATGCTGATGTCCTTCTACATACAGAACAAACCCTGCGCTGGATTGAGCCATTTTGCATGCAAACTAATGCAGTTCAGCGATTCAAGCTTTGCACGTTTAATCTCTCTATAACACGCAAACATTAAAGTTGATCAAATGACAACAATGCAGATGAATGCCTTGCATTGTTATTTCTGAGACTTGTTGGTGAATGTTTACTGTTAAGACCGAGGGTTTATGATTTATACATTAACTTGATAATAAAATCAATGTCAAATATGCTAATGTATCACACAAGTGATCACAGTCGAAATTAGTGTTCAAGTTACAGGGCAGTTGCTTAGTAAATAAAAAGCAGCATGCAGCTTGTGTTGTGAAGCAAATACACTTTTGTTAGTATTATCACTATTGTAATGCATTGTATTTATACATAACATGATGTTGCTACTTCAGTCTATAGGCTAGCTAATTTGTTCAAAAACACAGTGAAGTGCTTGTGTACTATGTACTATATGTGCTATGTGCACAATAAGTGCTCCTAAAGAGGAGTTTAGTCCATTCACTTCCATTATTCCGCTCCAAAAGCTTGTGTGTTCTCTTTTCCTGCTGTTTTGGACATGCACACACACACACACACACACACACACACACACACA